ATGAATGGTTCTTGAAATGGATATTTTTGTCCTTACAGAATCTTTCTAGTGGGACCGGCAGATGGCTCAGTGGAGTAAGTGCTTCCCTGGCAAGCACAGGGCTTCAGTTCAATCCCTGGTTCTGCCGAAAAAAAAAAAAAAAGAAAGAAAGAAAGAAAGAAAGAAAGAATCTTTCTAGGGACACAAAACACTTTAGGGAACAGACATATTAGTCTTTTAATTTTAATCCAGTCTGGAGTCACTAAGATTTTGTGGTATTTGATTATCTCATAAATTTATATGTTCCTAACGACCTTTATCAGTATGTATTGCATTGTGATACTTTCTAAGCTGATGCATTCTCCGCATAGGGTCCCAACTAGTTAATCTAATTTACAGAATAATTTTATGCAGTGTCATATATACTGCAGATCATTTGTACTGAAAAATAAAAGATTTCAGTGTACAGTAGATTTTTTTAAAAGGTAGACAATTCCAGAGAGAACTAAGATGACAATAAAAATAACTGAAAATGTCAGACGAGAAATAAAACAAAAATATGGGGTGTAGTATTTGGACGTTTTCTATACAAGCTAGTTAGTAAGCAGTGCAATAATATCATAATAGTTTTGCATGCTTTCAAATTTAATGTTTAATGTGAATAATTTTTCCATGTCATTATTTATGTGAATCTTTTAATGACTTACCACTTTAGGATACAATAGTTTAGTTAAATCCTTACTTGGCTATAATGGTTTGATGTTGATTCTTGGATATGTATATGATTGTATATTTTGTACTTACCTGATTGTTTCCCCAAAATAAAGTCCTAAAAGTAGAATTATTGCACACTTAAGTTGTTTATATTATTGTGTTACCCTTGTAAAAGATGTGTGATATATGCTTTTTACTCTCTCTTGAGTGTGAGGAACCGCCTTATTTCTCTTCTGGACTGCGCTGGATACTTTCTGTAACTTTTGCTAGTCTGATAAATGAAAAAAAGCTCTTTTCTAAAGAAATGCTCCCTCGTCCCTGATAAGCACATGACTTTAATAACTATTTTTTTATTTTAAGTAAATATTTTAATATTTTATTGTGTTTAATACACCTAGTCTACCCAACATCATAACTTAGCATAGCTTATCTTTTTTTAAATTTTTAATCTTTTAAAGAGAGTACAAAATATATTAAGTGAAATTCGTATTACTTTGTTAAGTGAAGTTCTTTTTTTTCATAATTTTATTGATAAACAGATAGCAATGAGACAGTTTCAAATCAAATCGGTAGGACAGTTTCAATAACTAACACACTGTATATATTCTTCTTAGTGGTTAATTGCTGTACAAGATGCGGACTTGAGATCCTAGTTACAAACACCATTAGAACAAATCATTCTATTCATTTAAGAGAATGTAACTATATATCTATCCTAACCACTTTGAATACACAGATACAAAATGGACATTCATCTGTATACCCCTTTTTTTTCTAAGTCCCGTTATTTGAATATTATAGGTGTGCAAACTAAGCAAAATATCCTAAAAGAGTTCAGTAGCCCATAATAGCATTGGGTCTTCTGTTTAACTGGCAATGCCAGAAATTATTGACCTGAGTCCCCCACAGCTCAACATAACAGCATGGCTTTACTTCCTATATTTCGTCTTCATACTTTTCTACTGGATGGTTAAG